AACATGTACAAAACTAAAGAAAATTATTAGAATAGTGTCTCACTAAATAGAGAATATCAATAGTGTTAGAAATTATAAAAGGAGCCAAATTGAAATTTTGGAGTTGCAAATGACAACAACTGAAACGAAAATTCACTAGAGGGATTCAACAGCAGAATCAAGCAGGCAGAAGAAGCAAAGAACTTGAAGAGAGGTCAATTGAGATTATCCAGTCTTAAGAACAGAAAAAGAAAAAAAAAATGAACAGAGACTCAGAAGCCTTTGTGACATTATCAAACCTCAGCATTTGCAAAACAGGAGCCCCGGAAAGAGAGAAGGGGTAGAAAGGATATTTGAAGAAATAATGGCTCAAAACTTTACAAATAAGGTGAAAAAATAATCTGCACATCTAAGAAGCTCAGCAAGCTTTAATTAAAATAAACTCAAAGAGATCTAAACATATAATCAACTGTAAAAAGACAAAGAGAGCATGGGAAGCAGCAAGAGACAAGCAGCTCATCACATGAAAATGATCCTCAATTACATTAATTTATTTCTCATCAGAAACAATGGAAGCCAGAAGAATGAAGTAATATACTCAAAGTGCTGAAACAAAAATGAATAACTATAAACTAAGATTTACATATCCATCAAAACCATCCTAAAAAATCGATAAATTAAGACATTCCCAAATAAACAAAAACTGAGAGTTTGTCACTAGCAGACCTACCTTATATAAAATGCTACAGAGAGTCCTTTGGGTTGAAATGAAAGGACACTAAGTAGCAATTTGAATCCACATGAAGAAATAAAGAGCATCAATAAAGGTAACTAGGTACCAGTAAATATAAGAAAACAATATAAATGTATCTTTTTTTATAACTCTTTTTTCTATCTCATTTAAAGACAGCTGCTGATGGATACACAGGACGTAAAGACAATTTCTGATAATAAGAGTATAAAGGAGAGGAGAGGAGCACAATTTTTGCATACTATTGAAATTAGGTTAATATTAATGTGAATTAGATTATTATAAAGTAAGATGTTAATTATAATCCCCAGGATGAATACTAAGAAAATAACTCAAAATAGATAGAAAGGAAAAAAAAAAAAGACAAGGGAATTAAAATAACATACTAGGAAATACCCTTTTAAGACCAAAGAAGACCATAAAAGAAAAACTGAGGAACAAAAAATACATAAGACTATAGAAAACAAATAGCAAAACGGTAAAATAAGTTATTTTTATATTAAATGTAAAGAGATTAAGCTCTTCAAGTAAAAAGCAGAGATTGGAAGAAAAGATTAAAAACACCATGATTCAACTGTATGCTGTCTACAAGAAACTCCCATTAGAATAAAAATCACAGAGAGGTTAAATGGAAAAAGATAATCCATATGAAACAAGAGCTGGAGTGGCTACATTAATACCATGCAAAATAGACTTGCAAACAAAATTGTTAATAGAGATGAAAAAAAAGGACATTATATAATGACAAAAGGGTGAATTCATCAAGAAGCTATAACAATTATAAGTGCATATTTACTTAACTACAGTATTCAAAAATACATGAGGCAAAACTCACATAACTAAAGAGAGAAATAGGCAACTCAGCAATCATAGATGAAGACTTCAATACCACACTTTAAATAATGGCTAGATCAACTAGACAAAAGACCCGAAAAACATTAGGAACCAACTAGACCTAACAGACATATACAAAACATTTCAACAAATACCAGCAGAGTACACATTAACCTCAAGAGCACATGGAACTTTCTCTAGGATAGGCCTTATGTTAGGTCAAGTAACACATCTCAATAGGTTTTGAAAGCTTAAATCATATTAAGTTCTTTGACTACAATAAATTAACTTACAAATGAATAACAGAAGGAAATATGGAAAATTTGCTCATAGGGAAGTACATAGCAGTAGATGCCTACATTTCTCTAGTCAATAACCTTTCACCTTAAAAAAAAGAAAAACAAACTAGAAAAAGAAGGTCAAACTAAACACGGACCACGGAGAAGGAAGATAAAGCTTGAAGCAGAAATCAATGAATTAGAGAATTGAAAAACAATAGAGAAAAATCAGTGAAACCAAAAGTTGGTTCCTTGAAAAGATGAGCAAAACCTTTGGCTAGACAACTGACAATTATTTACTTAGACTGACCAAGAAACTGAGAGAGAAAACTGAAATCATTAAAATCAGAAATGAAACAGAGGACATTCCCAATGACTGATGTAAATGTTCTCTAATTAGATAGTAGTGATGGTTTTACAACATTATGACTATACTAAAAATCACTGAATTGCACACTATGACTTTAATATTATGCAAATTATATCTTTATTTAAAAATTTAAAAAATGTATTATTATAAAACATTAAAGAAAAATACTACAGAGTACAAAACTTTTCTAGGAGTCATCATTTCTATCTTTTCTACTTTGTATCCTCTAATTTTATTTCTCTTATCCATTGTCTCCCATACTATATGCATAATCTTAATTTTGGAGGAAAAAAATGTTAGGTCAAGAAGACAGATAGCAACTATATCTGTCTTTACACCTCTATCATATTCAAAAGATGGGTATCAGTCCAATCATGACAACTCTCCAGAAAGGCAATCTATCAAATTAGTCCTTATTAAAAATCAATTGAAAATATTTATTGAGTACTTACCAGTATATGTACATAAGAGACGAGTAGGAGGAGGCACCCCATAAAGAAGGGCATTGACCATGTCCTCCAGCTGTCTATGGATTCACTGTAACTATGCAAAGTCTCAAGAACCAATGTGAATGGAATGTTGGGGTCCCCATTCAATGGGAATGACAATGGTTTAAGAATGTCTCATAGCTGAGGTGGAGTGGGAGACTCATGGATTGGTGGAATAGTGACTAAACTGCTGGGTTTTCTGGGAACAAATTATTTTCCAATACTTAAACTAAATCCTACTGAATTGTGGTTGGGAGGTTTTAAAAACATATAGTTACAAATTTCAGATGACATAATCAGTTTTGACTCCTTCCTGGGGGTCCAGGTTTGACATGCTAAGAGAGTTGCTGATGGTCACCTAAGGGTTGGATAAATCACCGAACACAGGCCCTTCTCAGCACCTACTCATCAAAAATGCAGTCACGCATCACAGACAGAGGATACCTATCTATATAAAAGGCTAATATGCTAAGTGTCCCACCCTCCATCTGACCGGTCGCTATGACACACACTGACCACCAGGGGGCAGACACTCAATGCAGGAGCTGTCGAGCTGCAATGACTTGGCAGTGGTGGTTCTTGGGTGAAGTACCCTGAAGCAGAGAGGAGGGAGCATGATTCCTCATGGGGTCGTGCGATTCCACCTTCGACTGTGGGTTATGTTGTTGCTGGTCACTGTTGGCCCCAAATCTGGTTTACTGCACATTTACATTTGCATTCCACACCCTGTACGACAGTAACTTTGCAGAGTGCCCTCTTGCAGCCCAGGACCCCTCAGGGGATGTTGGAGAGCCAGTTTCAGCCCGATCCCTGCAGGCCAGGCCAAGGGACCCCACCTGCTGGAGGGGACGCCCCAATACCCCGCTCACTCCGCAGATGCCTTTTGAGCTACGGTGCCACCCCAGGTGCGGCCAGCCAGGGAGGAATGGTGGGAAGTTGGCTCCACGAAGGGTCTGGCCCATCTCACCCAGTCCCACCCCACCAGCCACCTTCTAATTAATTTCTTCTCAATGTGCACGAATCTATGCACTGAGTCACTAGTACACATATATACCCCAATCCCCTTCTACCTCCTATGAAGCCAGTGTGCCTGCCAAGAAGTTCTTTGGAGGGTATAAGGAAATTTAGGGACATGTTTTACTAAATAGCTATTCCCTGATAGATCCCCCTGGAAGATCCATTTACTCTTTTAATCAATTAGAATAGCATTTCAATCCCTGGGATTGTTTATATTGCACTCAGAGGAAAAAAAATTATTCACATAGTACCGGAGTGGCACAGAATAGCCTGTAAAACCTTTGGCCACGGCAGACCCATTAACTGACCACAATACCCTTTCCAAATAAGCCCCAATGTGACCTCAGACTACTTCTCAAATGCCTCTAAGCAGCCACCACCACTACACTGGGATTGGAATTGTAAAATGAAATCCATGTCTGTCCTGGAATAGAATTGTCCTGGAATAAGCTCCTTCTCTGAGCCCTCATTTAGTATTTTCAATAACAGTTGACATTCAATGTTATATGAGTTTTAGGTATACAGCATAGTGATTAGGCATTTATATAATTTAAGAAGTGACCCCCCAATAAGTCTAGTGTCTACCTGGCATCATACATAGTATTACAGTATTATTGACTCTATCCCCTATACTGTAACTTATATCCCACCCCATCTCCCCCATAACTATTTTGTAACTGCCAATTGCAGTTATTATTCCCTTTACCTTTTTCACTCAGCTTGCTATCCCCACACATCTGGCAACCATCAGTTTCTATGAGTCGGTTTCTGTTTTGTTTGTTCATTTTGCTCTTTAGATTCCACATATAAGTTAAACATATCAAACAGAGAAAGCCCTCCATTATTTTTAAACCTTTTCACTTGGAACACTTCAAGCTTTTGTGAACACAAACTTCCTGGGGTAAACGCCAATTCCAAGCATATTAAGTTTACTAGAATTGGCATTACTTGGGACAGCTCTGCCAATACTCAGACATTTAGTAGGTAACGGATATCAGTCTATCACGTGTGTCATAAGTATAACATTTCAAACATTTCTCTAAATTCACATCTAGTATTGTTATTTCTTAAGAGAAATAAGTGAGGGTGGTAGAGGGACTGGCCAAATAGAGGGGGTGGTAGGTAATAGGTAAAGGAGGAAGAAAAGGAAATGGGGAGGATCAAAGGGGACAAAAGGTCAGTAGACAGAAGAAGGGACTGATCTACCAAAAATCAAGGTCACAGCTATGACAGGAAAAGGAGGGAACACTACATTCCTAAGACAGGGCTTTCCTGGCACATACTTAGGATGCTTGTAGGCCATGAGGCATCGCTCATACTTTCCCACCATGCTCCAGGCCATGACTAGGCCATCAACACTTCCAGAGAGGAGATGCCACTCGTCAAAGCACAGGCACTTCACAGCTCCCTCATGGCCGCTGAGAATCTGCAAGAAAAGTTGCCCCTGTGTTCAGCCAATTGTCAACTCAAAGTGTGACTCCTCCAAGGGCCAAAGCTGGAAGCTTCTTTAGGTAAATTCCAAAGCCACTCTCCACCAATCCATGAGCACTACTCACTTGGTATTTAGCTACCAACTTTACTTTTGCTCTTATAAGGCTCCCTCTCTCCAGAGCTCCCTCCCCAGTGAAGGGCGAATTGCTGGTGGGTCTGTGGCTGAGGCAGGCCCATCTCTCTGGAGTACCAGTGAGGGCCTGGACCATTATCTTCTTCTGCCAGAAGGAGAAGGGCCAGATGTTCCATCCCCAGCTCCTTACCAGGACCCAGTGGGCACCTGGGGCATCCTTGGGCCTGCAAATTCTGGCTAGACCATAGTGACAACAAGATTAGTGGTAAAAAGCTGTGACCCTGTACTCCTGGCATAAATGATATCTCACCACCACCCACTAGGGCTAGGGGGTTTCAAATCCAGCAAGAACATTTTATGTATTTGAACATTCAGTCACTTTCAATATAGCCAACATTCTCATCAGAGAGTAAGGGGAAAAACCACTGTGACTTTGTTCCTTCCCTTACCCATGCCAGAATCAGGGTAGAATATTCTCCATTGCTGTAAAAATATCCTGAGTCCATATATAATGTCTAATCAGAATGCAGCCTTCCGATACCAGCCCCATGACAGCATGGGTCACATGGGCCCTGACCCTCCACCAACAGTCAATGGCCCATTTTTTTTGTTGTTGGGGGGGCTTCCCCTTCAGTTCTTTAGGATTGCCCTTCTGGTGACTGGAACTCAATTGCTCCAAGGTTATCTAGGGAGCCACCATTAGTTTCCTCCAATTCATCACCGCCAGTGCCCCATTCCCTCCACAGCCTACTGCCCCCACCTTTACCACCTGAGCCATGACAATGTGCCACACTTTCACTATTCCTCGCTCACAGCTGCTCACGATGTAGGTGTCATTGATCTTGATGGCCAAGATGGGGTCTTTGTGTTTAAATGTCTTCAGACACTTCCCTGTGTTTATATCCCACTCTGAAAGGGAGGAGAGAGAAGGGTAAGGTCAGAGAGAGGGATGAAAGCAGGTTACAGGTTTGTTCCACACCCCATCACAGAAGCCAAGACTATTGGAGCCCATCAAGTCAGACCCCAAAAGGCCTTAGTCTGGCCCAGCACCCCCACAGTTTCACCAACAGCTCCATATGCCTGTAACACAGAGCTCCCTAATCATGGGCCCTTGGGAGATCCAGCAATGCTTAGATCGTAGTTCTAACTGAGGAACTTAGCCTTGGGGTCCAAGTGTTGGACAGCTCATCTCCAATGATACTTCTCAAGCCTGAAAAATGCTTGCCATGGAAATGTTGGGAAAATCATGGCACGTGTTTCGTGGCATCCATCTTTCGAGATGCTATGCTCCTGACTGACACCTTCCATCCCCAAAAGAAAAGAAAGCTGTCTATTTCCATTTATATCTTTTAGTATTTCTGAGTCTGACTTGGATTGTACTAATTGAGAGGTTATTACAGCTGGGGGCAGGTTTAGTGCTGCTTCTACATAGATGGTGCTAGAGCAACAGCCCAGGGTACTGTAAGATGGGTGGATATGAAAATAAATGGGAGAACAGAGCTTAAGGGTAAAAATTGAAAGTGTGAAGCATGAATTCAGGGTTGAAAATGTTACAGTCAGCTTCATGTTACAGTGTACCTCCCCAGCAACAGAATGAATAACCTAAGACAAAATGACCACAGCTAATATTTATATAGCACCGACAATGAGCCAGGCATCATTCAAATAATGCTTGACATGCATTAACTTATCTTCACAAGACAAATACTATTATTATTTCCCACTATACAGATGGGGAAACTGAGGCACAGAGAGATTCAGTCACCTGAATCACACAGGCAGTGAGCAGATTAAGCTGGGATTAGAACCCAGGGAGTCTGGATCCAGAGCCTATGCTCTTAACCGTGTATACCAGATTAACTTTAAGTATGTTTTTCTTATTTTACATACATACTGGCTCTTTTATTAAATTAGACTAGAGGCCAGGTGCACGAAATTTGTGCATAGGGGAGTCCCTCTTCCTGGCCTGCACTCTCTCCAATCCTCAACCCCTCGGGGAATGTCCGACTGCCTCTCCTAATACGGGACAGCTGGCTCCTAACCGCTTGCCTGCCTGCCTGATAGCCCCTAACTGCCTCTGCCTCTCCCCGCACCTGGGACCCAGGATTCCTTCCTCTGGCTGGCCACAGGCACCCAGGACTGGGCCAGCTTTGCTTGGGCCAGCTGCAGCTGCAGGGGACCATGGGAGGGCAGCTTCACCCTGGCCACAGCCACAGGCGCCCAGAACCATGGGGTGGGCGGCTTTTCCCTCTCCTGGGCCACAGCCTGGCTGGTACCCATTCCTCTCTCCCCAGTGTTGAGTGTCTGAGCCATTAAGGTGTGACAATGTGACAACAATTTGCATATTAGCTCTTTATTATATAGGATCTGTGAAACGAAATGTTAACTAAAATATTCTTGGGAAGGGGCTCTGATTTAAAGAATTTAAAACATGGGGGGTTACCATTCAGGTCTCTAATTGTCTCTTTCTCCTGGGTTTTGGTAACCCAGGCAGGTGGGAAGAGCCCAGGGGCTGCTGGCAGGATAAGAGAGATCTTTTGATAGTTTTTTCATCTTGTGTATTAATTCTGACTTTTACATACTGCATTAAAATGTGTAATTTGGTTATTGTGGTTTTATTGGTGCTCCCTCAAGTTTTATACCTGAGTTAAGGGCCTAACTCCCCTTGCCCTAGTTATGGTCCTGCCTGTGGTCTCACAGGATTCTCTCAAGCTTGAGGCCTTGTCTGCCCTTGCATCTTCAGACCCTCACCCTTTCATCCTTTCTGCTCTACTCCTTAAAGCAATCATGGCAACAAGACACGTTCAGCTCGGGGAGGGCAAAAAGGTAGGGAGTATCTTAAGCAGGTCTGAGTGTTTGTGCATGTGTCACCACTCTTTCTCCCTTTTCCACATCTTTTTCCTCCACCTACCCCTAATATGATGTGGTTTCTGGGTCCCTTGCTTTTCTTCTTGTCACTTTTTCCTCTGGATTTGCAGGGAACTTCTCATCCATACCTAAGGCTTCCATCTTTCATTATTATTGATAACCACCAAATCAACATACCTGGAATTCCAGACTGGTGTAGTCACACATGCATCTTCCTACTGCAATTCTCACCTGGGTAACTTTGGGAATCCCATACTCAATTTATTAGCTTTCTATTGCTGCTGTAACAAATTCCCACAAGCTTAGACGCTAAAAGCAACACATACTTATTATTTTACAGAAATCTGACATGACCTCAAAAGGCTAAGATCAAGGTGTCAGCAGGGCAGTGTTCCTTTATGAGGGAGGGGATCCACTTCTTTGCCTTTTCCACTTTCTAGGGTCACCTACATTCCTTGGCTCATGTTTTCCTTCTTATATCTTCCAGCCAGCAACAATACATCTCTCTGGCCATTCTTCCATAGTCGCATCTCCTTTTGATCACAGACAATAAAGTTTTAAGGATCCATGTGATTACCGATGGCCCGACATTGAAAACCAAGGATAATTTCTTAATTTTAAAGTCCTTAACTTAATTACATCTGCAAAGTCCCTTTGGCCATACAAAGTTACATAGTCATAGATTCTGGGAATTAAGGCATGAATATCTTTGGTTAGCCATTATTCTGCCTACCACACTCAACATGTTCAAAATTGAAGCCATTACCTTCTCCTCCATTCCTCATTCTTCCCTGTTGTTGCCAGAAGATTTGGTAGGTTACAATTCCCTGTCACTAATGGAAGTGGGGTTCTTACAATATCTTTAGAGAGGAATTTTCTAAGACTCACATGGGAGAAAGGGTGGTTTTTACTGGCATGAAGTTATATTTCTTGGGTTGCACAGTCCCATGTCTCTTAATTCAGCCCTGGAAAATACGTAGCTGGGCCTCCAGCAGAACCCATAGCACTGTCAGTGTCCAGAATTTTTGTTCCAGGGTGGAGCTGGGTCTGATATAGTATTAAGCTATCGTTAGTCCATTAGTCCATCGTGTGGGTCCCACATGGCTGTGAGCCACATGGGTGAATTCCAGGGAGTGAGTCCCCAGCCACAGTAGGTCCAGAGCACAAGAGCCAAGAGAGAGAATTCCCTTTGTTCTGGAGTTAAGTGTTTCAGATTTCACACCCTTCTGTCCACTGACTCACTCCCAGTTGTGACTGACAGGTAAGCATCTTCCCAAATCATTCAGACCTTACTGGGCATGCACCTATTGTCCAGTCCCTTCAACCCATTGATCTGTGGGGAACAGACTTGAAGAATGTTAAACTGTAGCTTTCTGGCAAAGCTGTATAAATAGAATGCCTATATTATTTAGACTCCCCTTTACTACGTTTCTGTTAATTAATAACCAGATTATTATAATGGTATCACTACTATTCCCCTATTCATCCTATTTAAATCCTATTTACATCGATGACACTTCTATATCCCCAGTGGCCTGAGTTTAAATTCTGGCCTCATCATTTGCGCTTCTATCTTTCTCACTTTTCATATCCAATTGGTGGTAAAGTCCTGCCAATCCCCCCTCTAGACATCTCCCTTCAGGGAGTCTATGCCATTTAATGTAAATTCGCACCTTCTGAGTTTCTTCACACTTGCCTGCTCTCCAATACTATAAAAAACACCACAGTCTCCAGACTGAGTAGTGTCTCACTTTGTCCCCTATCTCCACGTGGTCACTGCCCTCCAGATCCTTCTCCCATTCCATCACTAGAGTTATCTTTCTTAAAAGCACATTTGATCATGTCAATCCTCAGTTTAAGATGCATTTGTACTAGTAGCTTTCCATGTCCTATAGGATAAGGTTCAGTTTCCTTCCATGATGCAGAAGGTCTTTGATAATCTGGCCACAAACAAATTATCTTCCACACTACACCCAGCCAGACCAGCCAGGGGAAATCCCCTGAATATACCATTTTCTTCAACCTTCTATGGATTTGTCTGTGCTGTTCCTTCTACTTGGAATGTCCTCCACTCTCTCTCTCTATCTCTAGAACTAAATAGCATCCTGTCCGTGCTGTTTTCCCTCCTGCTCTTACTTCCACAGTCCCATAGAACTCTGCATGTTGGTTCGAAGTGTATGATTTAGAGTCAGACACTCTACCACTCAGCAGCTTTAATTTAGGGGAAATTGTTTTTCTCTCTGAATTTGGATCATTCATCTGTATCCACCTCATAGTGTTCTTATGGGATTAAATAATAAAGCATCTAACACAGTCAAAAAGTTAGTACTTAATAAGTGGCAGTTGTTATTGGTCACATATTTTATTATATTACCCATCATATATTTATATATCTATTTTCATTAGGAAATGATGAACCTCTGGAGGAAATAAAAAGCTATATTGAAAGACCCATATAATACTCATTTTATTTCCTTAATACCTCACACAGTGTCTAGCATATTGTACATATTCAACCAACAATTGTCAAAGAAATGGATCAATAGGTATATAGATGGGTGGATGGATGGAAAAAAAAAAAAGTGGATGCCTGTAGAAATGACCAAAATATGTATTTTGGCAACCTATGGATTTGGGGAAACTTCTTAGAAAGTTAAGGGTGTTTCCTCTCACCTTTCACCTGGCAATCTTTTGCTCCAGACACGAGCATTTTCTTATATAAATCGATGCAAGTGATTGTCCCCTGGTGGCCAGTGAAGATTCGTATGCAAGCCCCACTTTTCAGATCCCAGTATCTGCAGGAATTAGGCCAAAAAAAAACCCAAAAAAACGTTTTTCAGATTTTCTTAGGACCCAAGGGTTCATACTGTACAGTTTTCCTATAGATCAAAAAGTAGTTGTAAGGCAGAAAACTTTCCTGATCAAGCTCAGAGGCCTGGAATTTAATCTCAGTTATAGTACCTATTAGGTGTAACTTTAGGAAAGCTACTTAATTTCTGTGTAGGCTTCATTTCCTGATTGATAAGATGGAAGTGATAATATTAATAGTTACCACATAGGATTTTTGTGAAGAATTAAATTCACAAATGCAGTGATTGTTAACCCAGGGTGATTTCTACCCCCAGGGAACATTTAACAGTGCTTGAAGTTAGTTTTGGTTGTCACAAGCGGGATGGAGGTGCTCCTGGTATTTAGTGTATAGAGTTCAAGGATTCTGTTAAACCGCCTACAATTCACAGGAGTGTCTCCACAGAAAGAATTCTCCATCCCTAAATGTCAATAGGGCTGAAGTTGAGAAACCCCACGGTAAAGCATGTGACATTAGAATAGTAACCTACGCGTAGAAAATGCTCGATAACTGTTACATGGTAATAGGTGGAAGGGTTCCTGGAATGGCCACCAGGCCTAAAATTCATGTCACTGATTCACTGGTAGAGCTGATCTTCCAATTGTTCTATGGCCTTACCTGTTTGTCGGAGCCAACACGCACCTACGGTGTGTTTAACGATGTCCTAGGAGTCTAAAAAAAGCATGTTTTGAATATCTGTTTCTAGCAACTTGGCCAACCATGTATCCAGGTTGTGTTTCTAAATTCATATAGAAAATATATTTGATAAACACTTGCTGAATGATAGAAATAGAAGAATTACCACAGCCATGCAGATCCAAAATATTTTATGTATATTTCTGAAGCGAATCTAATAGATGTATGGAAACATGTATGTGTCACACTGCTGTTTAATAAACAGGCTTGCCTGAGGTCTCTTAACTATCATTATTACAAATTTCCACTTCAGGCAGGTTATTTCTGTGGCAGGTCACAGGGAAATGCTTAGTTAGTAGACTCTGGAGCCAGGATGCCTGGGGTCCAAGCCCAGGTCCATCACTTACTAGCTGTGTGATCTTGGAAAATTTAATAAACAACTCTGTACCTCAGTTTCCTCATCTGTAAATGGGATAATAATGGCACTTGCCTCATACAGTTATTATTAGATTTGGCATAACATATGATTAATGATAAAATATAATAATTATTATTAATAATACATTCTTTGAATGTGAAGATTTTCTTCTAATACTCCCAAGTGTCTTATGGCCTTACCTGTTTGTCAGAGCCTGCTATGCACATACAGTGTGTTTGACCATGTCCCAGTAGTCTAAAAAAAACCCATGTTTTGAATTTCCATCTCTAGCAACATGGCCGACCATGTGTCCAGGTTGTTTTTCTAAATACATACAGAAAATGTATTTGATAAACACTTGTTGAATAGGAATAGAAGAAAATTTTTTGATTTTATAAACTTATAAATCAAAGTTGTAACAGCAAGCATGATACTTAAATATACTTGCTATAGATATACTCCCTTCAAAAAGGAGAATAAGCCCTGGCCGATTTGACTCAGTGTATAGAGCGTTGGCCTGCAGACTGAAGGGCCCCGGGTTCAATTCCAGGCAAGGGCATGTACCTTGGTTGTGGGCACATCCCCAGTAGAAGGTGTGCAGGAGGCAACTGATTGATGTTTCTCTCTCATCGATGTTTCTGGCTCTCTATCCCTCTCCCTTCCTCTCTATAAAAAAATCAATAAAATATATTAAAATAAATAAATAAATAAATAAATTAAAAAAATTAAAAGTGGAACTGCTGTATGGTCTAGAGGTCCCACTTCTGGGGATATATCACAAAAGACCTAAAACACCAATAAGAAAGAATATATGCACCCCTAGGTTCATTGCAGCATTAACAATAGCTAAGATCTGGAAACAGCCCAAGTGTCCATCAGTAGATGAATGGATAAAAAAGCTGTGTTAGTTACATTTACACAGTGGAATACTATGTAGCTATAAAAAAGGAACTCTTATTCTTTGTGACAGCATGGAGGGACCTAGAGATTATGCCAAGTGAAATAAGTCATCAGAAAAAGACAAACATGATCTCACTTATATATGGAACCTAATGAACAAAATGAACTGGCAAACAAAAGGCATGGCTACATGGAACAGACTGACAGATATCAGAGGAGCGTGGGGTACGGGGCATTGGAAGAGATCAACCAAAGAACATATATGCATATATGCATAGCTCATAGACACAGACAATAGTGTGAGGAATACTTGAGGAGGCATGGCTGGGTGCAAAGTAAGGGGAAATGGAGTACACCTGCAATACTGTCAAAAATAAAGATAAGAAATTCATGCACTACAGTTAACAATACTGTGCCATATATTCGAAAGTTACTAAGAGAGATCTTAAAAGTTCTCATCATAACAACAAAAAAACTGTAACTGTGCGTGGTGATGGGTTTTGTTTATATCTAAAACAGAAATGGTATATGCCAATTATACCCCCAATAAAATTTTTTTCTAAAAACTCATATATACAGGCACCAGGAGACAAATCCAAGAACACCTATGGCAGCACTCCTTGAAAGAATAGAAAACCTAGAAACAATCCAAATATCCATTAACAACAGAATAAATAAATGAGTTAAGATATATTCATCCAATAAAACACTATATCTCAGTAAAAATACATTAATTATTGCTGCCTACATTGTATGGATGAATCTCAAAATCATAGTTCAATGTAAGAAATCAAATATGGATGAATTTTTAAAGCAGTTCCATTTATGTTAAGTTCAAAAATGGACCAAAGTAATAAATATATTTGAAGATATATAACTAGGTAGAAAAACTATAAATGAACCTATAAAAATATAAGGGAATAATTAGTATAAAATTTAGAATAACATTACTTCTGGTTGGGAAGAAGAAAGAAGCAATAAGGGAAAGGCACATAATGGGATTTGGAGACTAACAATGTTTTATTTCTTGGCTTGAGTAATGAGTACAATGGTCCTTCTTATATTCTTTAAAAATTAATATATATATATATATATATATATATATATATATATATTTCAAACACTATCTTACTTCTATACAATATTTCAAACCCACAAAAAATACTTTCCCTGAAGGAATCTATAAAAGGAAATATAAATTGGGCCTTCATCTAGGAATGCTAAAAATATACTTTCTGATTCACAGTCTTCAACTAGAAAATACTAGTAGATCTGATCATTGTTATAAGCCTATCTCATCCAAAGTTTAAACAATATACAAATTCTTGGTTTTCACCTTGCCGAAAAAGCAAAATGCTGTGGACTGTTCTAGAGGTCCCACAGTTATTTAGGATAACTTTTCAGTAACTACAAGACTTTTCAATAACTACAGAAAGGAAAAAGTATATGCAGTTCTTTCTTCCACAAACCGGGGTTTGTGAGGCACCACAGCACCTTGGCCCACTCACCTGATACTCAGGTCATAGCTCCCGCTCAGGAGGGCGTTTTCCTCCTCACACACGAAGAGGGCCCGGATACTCCCAGTGTGGCCTCGGAACTGGACGGGGATCTCCTTTGCTTGTAAGACGTCCAGAAGCTGGATCTTCCGATTGGATGACACAGCTACCACATCTCCCCCAGAATAGTGGATGATTCTATTTCTGTCCCACCTGAGTTGCCAGGAAAAAGGATGATCCATGAAAAGAGAGTTAGTGTCCTGCCTGGAACTCACTAGCACAGTGGTTTCACCTGCAAGTATACGAAAAGTCAAGGCCTTCCAACAAGGACAGTAGCCAATATAAAGGCCTAGTGTTAATGGGCCCTGATAGATTTCTACCTCATAGCATAACAAAAAATCCATTTGGGGTAAATTTAAAACCTAAAGACAAAGGGCCAAAACTACCAAAAAAAATCTGCTAATTAATGTATGATAAATCCCCAAGAGAGAGAATAGGAGAATAGAGTATGCAGTATTTCCCAAACTTATTTAACCACAGAAACCTTTTTTCATGGAAAATCTCAGAGGAACACAGTTGGGAAGCCCTATACCCACTGCATATACCACTATTTCTTTTTTTTTTAATTTTTCTTAACCAATATCAAATGAACATATATTAAGTTCCAAGTTCTGAGCTAATAGGAGCCATGGGGGATACAAAAACGAGTAAGATATGGACCTTGACTTCAATGAGCTTGTAGTCTGATTAAAAAAAAAAAAAGGTGAGTTGAATTAATTTTCCAGTCATAATATTATTAGTAAATAGATAAAATATGATCAGGATGACCAAATAATTTATTATCCAAATATTTTTCACCTTGAAAGGGGACACTATTATTAATTACCCCAGGATCAGAGTAAAGTGGGATTGTTTCAGTAAAAAGGGATGCATGGTCACTCTAAATATGAGAAGCAATTTTGTTCTCATTGCATTTGTCATATCTTGAGTTCAACCAGGCACCATCTTTTCTAAAGAGTATTTATTGCCGTACCACTCATAAAAAGTCAACTTTGCCTGTCTCCTATCTGCTCTGCCTTTCCCTTAAGGACTGGTCAATATGCAATTTGTTAGTGTGACTCACAGCCAAAAATAAAATAGAGATGGCCTTCACAAAACCTTATGAATGAAGAGTGAAATCCTAGGCCTAAAGTATGGCAGAAAGTTGATTATTAAAGGGTCTTCTTACAGCATATCCAAATCATGTCACACTACGTAGTTATCATAAATACTATTTTCATATTTAACATGGAAAGATAGCCACAGTATTTTGCTGGAGCGTGTTATAGAAATATGTATAGCACTAGTGGCCTGGTGCATGAAATTTGTGCATGAGGGGTGTCCCTCAGCCTGGCCTGCACCCTCTCCAATCTGGGACCCCTCGGGGGATGTCTGACTGCTGGTTTAGGCCCGATCCCATAGGGACATCCCTCTCACAATCTGGGACCCCTGGCTCCTAACTGCTCACCTGTCTGCCTGCCTGATCACCCCTAACCACTCTGCATGCCAGCCTGCTTGCCCCAACTGCCCCCTGGCTGGCCTTCTCATCCCTAACTGCCCCCTGCTCCCCTGCTGGCCTGCTCGTCCCTAACTGCCTGCCCCTGCCTGTCTGATTGCTCCCAACTGCCCCCCCCCCCACCAGCCTGATCACTCCAAACTGCCCTCCCCTCCTGGCCTGGACACCCCTAACCGCCTCTGCCTCAGCCTCACCACGTTGGCTTTGTCTGGAAGGTCTTACAGTCTAATTAACATATCACCCTTTTATTAGTATAGATAGTATAGATAGACCCCTGGTGCACAGGTGAGGGCTGGCTGGTCTATCCTGAAGGGGGTCCTGGATCAGGGTAGGGGTCCCTTGGGGGGCAGGGTAGGCCTGGGTGAGGGGCCTGGAGTGGTTTGGAGGCCAGCCACACCCTCATTGGGTTGGGGTTCCCCACTAGGGGCGGTGTGGCCTGGGTGAGGTGCTGGAGTGGTTTGCAGGCTGGCCACACACCCTTTGGGGTGGGGGTCCCCACTGGGGGGTATGGCCAGCCTGGGCAAGGAGCTGATGGCCAGCTTGGGTGAGGGGTTGAGGGCTGTTTCCAGGCTGGCCATGCCCCCATCAGGGTGAGGATCCCCATTGGGGGCATGGCCGGCCTGGGAGAGGGGCCAAGGGCCTTTTGGGGGAGGTTTGCAGGCTGGCCAAGCCCCCAGCTTTGTAAAAAAATTCTAGAATAGACACCAGTATTAATGGTGATTTTCTCTAGAAGACAAGATTATAGGAGATCTTTGCTTTTATCTATACATTTTCTGGCATTTGGTGGACTCCCCCCCCCCCCCGCCCCCCCCCCCCCCCACACATACTAAGCATATATTACTTCTGAAATTAGAATAAAACAATAAAAATATTTCAAAAAATAAAGATTTTATGCACATAAATTGTGCATAAATTTGTTGGTCAGTATACCCAACATGTGTAAGGGGAAAATATCCCCCACTCACTGCTGATAATGGTGCAAACATCAGGCACCTATTCGCATGTTAATTTAGAGCTTGAGATGAGGAAGGATTGCCTTTCCAAGTGAACAAGGGTCATGGGAATCCTAAGATGCCAGTATTTAAGGATCTCTGAAGACCTAGATTCAGACCCTAGTACCTACGTGTCAGAGAGAATATGGATGTTGTAAGTCCCACAGAAGACATTTCTCTCCTCCATCTGGATCTGCTGGGTTTCCTGGTTCTGGTATGCTGTCCACAAGTTGTTGTCATTCTAACAAAGGAACACTTGGAGTCAAAGTACAGTGGCAACTTTACCCCTGTAGCCCCTAGAGCAGCGATTCTCAACCTGTGGGTCACGACCCCTTTGGGGGTCGAACGACCCTTTCACAGGGGTCGCCTAAGACCATCAGAAAACATATATATAATTACATATTGTTTTTGTGATTAATTACTATGCTTTAATTATGTTCAATTTGTAACAATGAAATTGGGGGTCACCACAATATGAGGAGTTGCATTAAAGGGTCGCAGCATTAAGAAGGCTGAGAACCACTGCAAGTCTCCCCTGGCAAGGGCACAAGTGCCCATGGATTCTTCCTCTTCAGGCTGTGGCTGTTGCTATGTGGTCATGGGGTACGGCCAAGGAGCAGGCAGCAATGTAATCTGTACGTTAGAAAATATTGAATCCAAGGCCCTAATTCTTCTCCCATTTCTTTGTGTTTCATATGCATTTTGATTCCATGAACTTTCAATATTGCTGATGCCCAACTTTTAAAAAAATGAGCTCACAGAGGGTATACTCACAGATAAAGGCACAGATCCCTTTTGATCAACCATTTCATGGAAGTAGGGTTTCACATTTACATTACATATACTTGACAGTACAAAGTATATTCATGGAAACTGCAATGTGTGAAATTACTGTTACACACTCTATTTTCATTTGCCCTTCAAAGTTTTCATCCATCTGCAACCTTAATTTTTCCTTACAGCTGCCTCACAAAGTACATCATTCACCCTACAATGTGTTCTCAACATTTTACAGATGAGGTATCTGAGTCTCAGAGAGGAGAAATCAATATACCCAATCTCAGCAGAGGTGCTTGCTTTCCCTTTCCCTTCCTCCCTCCCTCCCTCCTTCCTTCCCTCCCTCCCTCCCTCCCTCCCTCCCTCCCTCCCTCCCTTCCTTCTTTCCTCCCTTCCTTCTTTTCTTCCCTCCTCCTCCTTTCTTCCCCATTTTTTTTTCTCTCCCTCCCTTAATCACATTCTTCCTGAGCAGCTATTGCCTGCCAGGCATGCTGAATTCTGGCATAGATGAAAGTTCCATGCTTCTCAGGCATACCCTCCCCCCTCCAAAAGCAGAAAATAATACACGACCAGGCAACCAAAACACAGGGTGAGTTTGTCATGAAAGCAAAGAAGACCAAACCATCATGTTTGCATCTGGCAGACCTAGGGACACCTCTTCCTAAGTCTCCTTCCAAACCTTAGGCGTCACCATGCCTGTAGACTCTTCCTCAGGACGGCTGCTTTCCTCAGCTTACTCTCCTTCTTAATCTTAACCAAGTAGTGATATTCACCTACAAGCCTCTGAAGAATCTGTCCAACTGCCTTTCCTCCAGAGTCCAAGCAGCCTTGAATTAAATGAGGCTTCCCTGGCTTCTCACAGTAGGGCTGGAATTCCTTGGCTCTTCCTCATCAATTAAGCTTTGAGAACCTAGAATCTACATGGTAGAGTCATTGGGAGGAACAAGACCTGAGTTCAAATTCCAGCTCTGCCACTGACCAGCTATGGGAGCTTGGGCAAGTTTTCCAGCACCGTGGCCTGCATTTCCACATCCATAAACTGAAGCTATATACCTGGCCTATGGTGAATATCAAGTACATAATGTGTACAAAGCCCTAGGCACCATTCCTGGCACACTGTTTGAGCTCAGTACCCATTGCAATCAGCACCCCTCAGCAGCACTCAACCTCCACCTTTCCCTAGCAGACACCTTAACTGTTTTGTCTCACTGCTTCACATGTCCTCATCTGGCCTCCACATCGTCTCTCTTTTCCTAAATTATACATTTCTAAAATATATAACACTGTCTGGGTGGTTCTTTTTTGTCAGGCAATTATAGCTCTTTCACCTAAGGAAGAAGCATGTTAGTTTCATTATGCCCAACAGAGCTAACAGGCTGGGGAAGAGCAGATCAGCATTTCACTTGTATTTGCCTGTTATTCTGCTGGTTAGGATCCTGAAACTCTCTGTGCCTCAGTTCCTTTATCTATAGAATGAGTGAATGGACCAACTCAAAGCTTTAAAAAATTGCAAGTCAAATGAGGTAAACAAATGTATTTGCCTTGGCCCATATTTTTTAAAAAAATGATTTTAATTAGTTGCCAGCATTTAAAAAAGCAAAGAATGTCATATGATAATTCAGGTTTCTAACTTCTCTCAAAAGTTCAGGTGGCCTAGGTTGAGCTTCACAGTCTCCCATGGCAATAATTAGCTCTAGCTAAGTAGCAACTGGCCCCTTTAGATGGGAAGTGAACCCTCTAACCCAGCGATTCTCAACCTTCTGGCCCTTTAAATACAGTTTCTCATGTTGTGACCCAACCATAAAATTATTTTCGTTGCTACTTCATAACTGTAATGTTGCTACTGTTATGAATCATAATGTAAATATCTGATATGCAGGGGTCGCGACCCACAGGTTGAGAACCGCTGCTTAACCCATCACTGTTCTACTGTCCTTTACTACTTACACCACCACCTCCCTCATTCATGGGCCCTATCTGGCCTCTACAGACATATGAACTAGATAGTCTCTCTAGACACTTCTATTTCTCAAATTATAATTGATAATGCAGTTTTCTTGTGAGAAGCTACAGTCTGACCACCCCTCATTAAATATTCTTTTAGGACCCATTGAATAGTTTCAAAATAGAAGGCCCTCGAGCAAAGAGGAGGAAGCAGTAATCTAATGGTTCTAGGAATGAACCGTGCCTGGATAGGCAGAACATAGAGTTCAGGGTCTTCCATCTGCTCTTCATTATTGCCTAAGATTTGATAGGGAGATGTATGGTTAAGTAACTCTCCCCTTCCATCCTAGAATCAGAATGAACCTGGACGTGAAAGGTGAGAAAGTTTAATTCATTCTGGACCCTGGACATTCTGGACTGGCCCTCCTGTTCTCATTCCAGAGCCACAGACTCCTGTACCCTCTAGATCAGTGATGGCGAACCTATGACACGCGTGTCAGAGGTGACACGCAAACTCTTTTTGGTTGATTTTTCTTTGTTAAATAGCATTTAAATATATAAAATAAATATCAAAAATATAAGTCTTTGTTTTACTATGGTTGCAAATCTAAAAATTTCTATAGGTGACATGGCACCAGAGTTAGGTTAGGGTTTTTCAAAATGCTGACACACCAAGTTCAAAAGGCTCGCCATCACTGCTCTAGATGCATGGACTGATGGCTGTGGAAGAAAATCCCAACTATCACTGACATTGCTCCTGGCTCTGAGCTCTGCACCAGATGGCTTGGTTCTGGGGACATAGCAATGGGATTTGAAGTAAGGACAAACCCTGAGAGGACAACCAAATCAATCCATTTGTTTAATACATGAAGCATTTAAGGCTTAAAGAAAGGAAGTAACTTAAGCTGAAGGACACGTAGCACGGAATTCTGGTCTTCCTTCAGGAATATCACTTCCAATATCCTATATCCATATGCTATATTCCATATCTTCCAATTTCCTATACCCTATGTAAGGAATGAGCCTGACTTCAGCCTTCATTGGCCAGTAAGAGATGACTCTCACAGTTATTTGCCCGCGATGCCATCAGAACCCACCTTTGTTCTCAGTTTCCATTTCTGATTTTTCGCACGTATGCGCTTTATGTCATCTGTCATTTTAGGAACTGGGACGAAAAGCTTGCAGGCATAGGTGGGATCTATTCCCTTTGTGTAGGACCCCTGGGGGGAAAAACAGAAAATGGCTACTCTTGGTTCCTTTCTCCGAGAGGAAGGTTAAACTAGTGCTTGGCAAGATCTGAAAGAGGGGTAAGCTCTGACTCAGGGAGGCCTGGGCCTGGCCAGTAAGGCAATAGTGTGTGTAGACTGGCTTAAGGAGGATAATGATACTCTGGAACAAGACCAGAAAGAGATGGTCAGCCGTTCCCAGCTTTCCAGAGGATGATCTGCCTCACCACGCCTGCTTCTCCTCCTCTTCTCTCATCTGTCTCTGCTGGGAAAAATCCTAGCTGCCAAGAATCCTTGATTTGAATTAGGCTTCAGGCAAAAAGCAGAAGTAAAAATGCCAGAGAAAATTGCATTTTAACTTACAAATAGACTTTGTGGCCTTGTAGACATCTGTGTACTGTGTCAGGCTGACCTAGAAACATACACATGACTTCCTGATTGCCTAAGGCCGGGGTCGGCAAACTGCGGCTCGCGAGCCACATGCGGCTCTTTGGCCCCTTGAGTGTGGCTCTTCCACAAAATACCACGTGCGGGTGCACGTACAATGCGATTGAAACTTCGTGGCCCATGCGCAGAAGTCGGGTTTCGGCCTGGGCGAGTCTATTTTGAAGAAGTACCGTTGATATTTGGCTCTGTTGACTAATGAGTTTGCCGACCACTGGCCTAAGCCACAATGCAGCTCTCTGGGCCGGGGGTCACGTGTTGGGGCAGGGGTGGGGAGGTGATTCCCTGCTTCACATGATTTCCCAAGGCTCTGCCTTTCTCTTCCTGGTAGGTTTCTACCTGTTCTCCCTGCTCAATGCACTCACAATGGTATAGATTAATGGGGAGTCCACACAAAAAGGAAGTGACTGTTGAAGCCTGTGAAGCAGCAAAATGGAACAGGCCATTCAAAGGGTCTACTGAGTGGACTGAAAGGCTCCTGTCAGCCAGCTTCCACAAGGAAGTGAGGCCAATCTGCAGACCACCCCTCCCGACAGGAGTACCTGCAGTAAGGCGATCTGGTTGTGAATGAACGAATGCATCGAGAAGTCCTTCTTGACTTTCTTTGCCAGTGCAGCCCAGTGCTGGCTCACAGCGGCACATCTGTTCAGGGTGCTTTTATCAAGCATACCTGGGGGGAAAATAGATAAACCTGGGACCCTATAAACTGGATTGCAAAGGGAAGACTCTTGAGAAATCCCCAATACATCCCAGCATACTTAGAATATACTTGGAGATATGGATGGGCAGTTGACGGATGAAGTCCCGGTATTTGCTGGCTCCAGAAGACAAGTCTCTGACAACATCCATGTCAACCAACAGATTGGAGGAGGTGTGCCCTGCCTTGAGCATGTGAGCTTTTCCGGAATATAGCCTATTCATCTCGGAAATGCACTGGAGCGAACTCCTCCATTGTCCCTCTAGAACCAAGCCAGAGAAAGGAACATGGTTTGTCTCTGTGTAATTCCAGGCCAGAACTCATCAGAGTCTGCCCTTAGGCTACTGGAGTTTTTCATTTCTTCTGTGAAAATGAAATTAGAAGCTCCCTAACCAAATATGCAAGTACTTTCCTGCCTTCCCAGCTAAAGGAGATGTCTGTAGTTTCAAAGCCTGCCCTGCTCAGGAATGGCGCCTGGAATTTCCTTCAAATTAAGGAAGCATTTTAAACAATTTTAAAAGAGGGAAATGGATGAAATAAATTGGTAAGATGTTGATCATTGTTGAAGTTTGGTGATAGTTATATGAATGGTTATTATACTACTAGAAGCCTAAGTGCATGAATTCATGCACGGGTGGGGTCCAGCCAGCCTGGTCCCAATTGGCGAATTGGGGCTAGACCTGTTGGGAGGAGGAGATGGTGGGAAGTTGGCCAGCCCGCCCGCCCAGATCAGGGCCCAATCAGGGCCGGCCTGGCTGTGGGGAGGGTCCGCAGTCAATTGGCTGGTGGGCCCCACCCCCAAATGGGGTAGGGGAGGCCGATCCTGGGTCAGTGGCTGGGGAAGGGGCCGTGGGAGGTTGGTGGTCCAGCCTCACCCCCTATTGGTGTGGGGGGGCCAATCGGGGGCAGAGCTGGCTGGGGGGAGGGGCCTTGGGCCAATTGGGGTGGTGGGGGCTAATCTGGGATGGGTCTGGCCATGGGGAGGAGGTGTGGGCAGTGGGCCAGCCAGCCCCAATGGGGTGAGGGGGCCCATTGGGGGCCAGTGGCTTGAGGGAAGGGCCATGGGTGGTTGGCCGGCTGGCCCTGCCCCTGACCGGGGTGGAGGGGCCGATCTGGTGTGGGCTGGGCAGGAGGAGGGGCTGCAGGAGTTTGGCTGGCCAGCCCTGCCCCCTATTGAGGTGGGGGGCCAATCAGGGGCAGGGCCAGACAGGGGGAAGGATGTGGGCCAATTGGGGTAGGGTGGGGCCATCAGGAACAGGGCTGGCAGGGGGGGAAGGGCCGTGGAGGGTTGCCTGGCTGACCCACCCTCAATCGGGGTGGGAGAGGCCCATCAGGGGCAAGGCAGCCAGGGGGAGGGGCTGTGGGAGGTTGGCCACCAGCCCCACCCCCAATTGGGCTGGTTCGCTGGCCACAGTGGGCATCATAGCAACTGGTTGTTTAGGTCGTTATGGCGTTCCGGTCACTGGCTTTTTATATATATGTATAGATTCTATCTACTTTTCAAATTTTCTATATAAAATGGTTTAGAATCTATATGTTATATTTCCTGTCATTGTTTCATATATATGTCTTGCTTTGCTGTCCAACTTAGAAAGGCCTTGAGGTCAGGGTTCACATCCCCCACTGCTTCTATTTCCTGTTCAAGGAATCCAGTACTGCAAAAACAGCCATTGCATTTTTCAAAAAGAGTGCTGCGGGGTAGGGGAGACCAAGGGAAGGTCAATGGGGGGGGGGGGGGAGAAGACATATGTACTACTATTTGTAACACTTTAAACAAGAAAAAAAAAAGAGTGGGTTGAATTCTAGGGGTGCCAACCATGCCACAGGTCAGGGGCTAAACAAGGGACTTAGCCTGGGACAGAGAGAGGCTTCCAAAGAAGCCCTTGGGAGTTTCCTTTCTGATCTCTAGTCTCAGGTATCTCTCAGAGGCACCTTGCTAGAGACTTTTGGTCATATTAACTGATTTTATCCTTGCTTCTCCCCTTCCCAGAGATTCCAACACAGCATAAGTGAAAAATGAAGGTTAATTCCCCAAATCTGTCACCCCCAGATGCTATTGCCCTCTCAGCCCCTCCAACTCCATTGGAGCTGCCCAATCTCATATCTATTGGCTTTCTCACTACAAGCCAACTTACCAGTATTAGATGCTTCCCACCCAACATTTTTAAGAAAGCTTTTTCCCCCTGAATCTTTGGACAAAGGGAAGGATGTGCTCTTGGTTCTGGCTGTCCAGTAGACATTTGAAGTATCAAGCTGGGGGTTGTAGTATTTCTCAGGAAATAAAAGCATAAGATTGGGGTCTTGACCAAGTTCTGAAAAACAAAAGATCAATACAAGGTTGTTCATTAAGCAGGTGTGTGGGGAAAAATAATGGCAGTAAATTATTTAATTTCTACTTGTTTCTTTTAAATATATATAAAATGGGCCAAGCCAGTTATGTCTGTTTTCATTTGGGGCCTCTGAGTTTCTATGCAAAAGTCACAGAAGGCCCCTACTTAGATTTTTCCAGCCTACCTACAATGCAAAATTTATCAGGGCTCTTTTACAAGGAGAGAGCATGAGAGGGCTGTGGGAAAGAGCTGAAAGAGGGACTGCTTTTCTGAAGCTCCAGCTTAATTTTCTTCGATGGTATGAATGAATAAGTATCCTTGTCAAAATAAAAGAAAATTAACTTTTTAAGAAAGAAGCTCCTCTAGGACAAGGAGAAGGTTGCACATCCTGTAACTGGGCTCGACCCTAATATATGTAGCTAATTGCTGTGGAGGGTGATGAAAACCTTTGAGAGTAAACCACAGAGCAGTGCATGTGGATGTAAAATCCAGGCCTGCGGTAGTTTGCCCTCCCTTGTGGTGAGGGGTAGCACTGCACAGTGGGAGATGCTCAGGAAGGAAGTCCTGGTTTTCAACCCCCTTGGCTGGGTGACCCAGTTCAAGTCACTCAGATTCCCTGAAATATGGCTTCCTTATCTATGAAATCCAAGAGCTGGACTAATTTTTTTTTTCCCATCACTTCTTCCTTTCAGATTACCATTCTTTCACTTCCCTAATGCACAAAGAAGCCAAGTGGCATATCTCGGTACCTAATTGCCCATAGTTCACCTAGCTTAAAAATCCTTTTGGATTCCATTAGTCTACAATTATAACCACAAGTAAGGTTTATGGACATTAGGAATTCTCATCCTTCCAGACCTCAAACTCTGAAACTCCTTCACCTGATAGCTCGCCCCCAGTCTGCTCTTATCTTCACTAAACCTGTGCTTTCCCCACACTGGACCTTTCACTCCTGGACCCCTGAGAAATCTACCTCTTGCCTTCTTTTTGGTTCTTTTTGCTTCCCTGATTGAGCTGGCCAAACATTTCCAAGATCTTCTCACCAACACACTAGGTCAATGGCTCTCAAAGTGAAGTCCCAGCCAGCAACATCAGCTAGGAACTTGTTGGAAGTGCAACTTGTCAGACCTGCTGAGTCAGGAGGTTTGAAGGAACCCAGCCATCTGTGATTTTATAAGCCCTACTGGGGATTCTGATACAGCTAAATTTAAGAACTGTGCTAGCCTTACTTAGCCCTTTCGCTGTCTCCAGCCTTGGATAAACTCCACTTCAAGGCCAGATTTTATGTGCAAGCAAGGAACATAGTGGAACGAGTGAAAAAATAAAGTTCTAGGTTTTGACCTGTTGGCCTGGTTTCTGCACAGCGAAGGGTAAAGGGCAAAACAATTCTATAGCTTCCCCCTCACATGCCTCCCAAGGCCAGTCCAACCTCTAGCTCACTGACGAAGGAATCACACCCGCCTTCAGTGATAGACACACAGACTAGCCATTTCTGGGCCAAAGGGAGAAAAAAATCCATTTTAAAGGCTTCCCAGTTAAAAGTTCGGTACACCCTCCTACATTTGTCATTTGATGATTTCCTAGAAGGAAGTTACATTCAGCAAGTTCTCCTTTGGGAAAAAGGATCTGGTGTCAGGGCAAAGGACTCTATTCTGCCTTCAGAAAAACTCCAATCTACCTAAGTTTGTCCACAACTGTAGTTCCTTTACCAACTCCAGGAGTCTGGCTCCCTGGTCTCTAGGCCCTCTTGGTCTCTACCTGTAGCCTCATTTACCTAAAATGGTATCCTGCTCCCTCTGAAAAAGGACTCTGATGACGTTGGCAGCAGTGAGTAGTAACTTCCGGTCGCACATCTGAAGCAGCAAGAGTGTGTAATTTGCCTTAGTCCGGTGGGTGCTGCTCCCAAACCAGCACAATATCTCCCTCATCTTCTGCTCTATTGTCCTATCCAGCATCTGGTTCATGAATTTCATGATGTCCCCCTCCTGCTTGCTGAGGTCGATCCGGGACCTGGTATAGATGAAATCCTTCCCCTGTGTGGTCTGAAGGATATTTTGAAAATAGTATAACAAATATAAGCTATCCAACTGTCCCAGAATGCTCACTAGAAACCTCCTCTGAGCTATCTCACTGACCCTTAGGAACCACTCTTTAGTGGAGAAGATCTTCCTAGCCAAGATGCACGTTTCACACCTCTGGCACACGGGCACAGATTCATTTCCCTTCTCACAGTGAAAATAGGGGATAGTCTTGAGCCTTGATTCCATGTTGTCCATGATCCTGAGATGACCAGCTCATTTTATCCTTGCCCGTGGTCAGCCCCACCAAACAGCAGAGGGACAGGAGAAGCTGATAAATATCCCAAATGATGCTTTTCTATTATAAACATCTCCCAGAGGAAAAGCAAACCTCTGAGATGGATGGGAAGCTTAGCTCTCCCAGAAACTGCCAGTGGAAGTCCTAGGAAAGGTGGTTTTACCGTAAATCTCCTAAACCTGGCGCTGCTTTTGTGGAGGCAGTTGCTGTATATTCTGAAAGAGCTGGTCATCTCATTTCTAGAACGAGAATAGTGTTAGTCAAATTTAAATAAAATATGGACCATTTTTAAAGGGAGAAAATATTGTGTAGCCTGGTGTTGAGCTTCAATATGTATTGTTATTTAGTGACTTTTAAATATTTGTGAATATAAAATTAGATGTAACTTCTTATGGTTATAGCTGTTTGATTATATGGTGGCTATCCCAATGATTGTGAATATATTTACACTCATTTTCTTAACTCATCATCGAAGTAAACACACATGTGTTTAATATAAATTTAAGTTACTTAGCTGATTGAGAACGCTAACCAGAAACCTCTTTAGGGAAGCACTCCTTAGTGGAAAAATTTTCACTGGGACAAAGAGTGTACTTGGGGACTTCCAACCTCAATTACATGCCCACCCATGTGTCTAGGAGGCAGCTTAGGAGGGAAAAGTGTGGGGTCTGGGCCAGACTCTTGGATTTGGATCCCAGCTCATCTGCTTACTAGTTCTGTGAACACAGGTACATTGCTTCATCCTCTCCACTTCAGTTTCCTCAGCTGGGAAATTGAGACAACAGTTCCTACTTCATACTAGTAAAGTCCTTATGAGGATTAACTGAGCTACCATACACAAAGCATTTAGGAGATTGTCTAGTACATAATTAGCCCCCAATAAATGCTAAGTATTGTACCCTTGTCACCATCATCATTATTATCATTGTGATCACTCTTCTGGCAGCCGGGCAATCAATGTTCACTAGGATGTTCATATGTGTGTATGTTCATACATTGAGATACATGTAAAGAAATAATGCGAGTGTGTGTTTTTAAAATAAAAAAATGACATGAAAATAGCTTACTTATTTCATGAGATCTTTATCTTTTAACTCTGGCTTATGATCCATTCAGGAGTGACAACATAAGGGTGCACATGGCAGTTAGAAATTTTTCAAAATAATTAATAAAGACGTACTGCTGCTAAGTTGGGAAAAATTACTGTATTAGACTATTGCCTAACATAGCTACCCAGCTTGTCCCTGCAGCCAAAATGCCCTTGTAAATGTCGGCATCCCAGAGAAGAGACTTGAAAGCACACTGAGACCATTCTGCTTCAGACAAGACGAGGTTCAAACACTGGTTCTGGTACTTTGCAACTACATGGTCTTGAGTAAGCTACCTGGATGAAGATGGCAGAGAAGAAGGCAGGTAATAAAAATTATAGCTACCTTCTGGGATTAAAGCAAATGTGTGAAACCAGTGTCACTGCTACTGTTGTTGTTTTTATGGTTACTACTCCATATTAAAGAGAAGATTTGCAATGACATAAGCACTTCCAGTGTAGAGACCAGGCAGTTAAAGATAGGCATTGGACATCATTGCCAGCGGTGGTGTGCAATGGCAGTCCCATACAAGGGTCGGGTGTGGGACAAGGATCAAGCTGGGAAGGACAGTGCTGGTAGCTCAGCCTCTTCTATCTGAAGAGATATTTGAAAGGCAAGAGCAGATTAGTATCTAATCTATCAGAAAGGCCAGACAAAGGAGGGTGTAGGAGGCGGGAGCCCCAAAGCAGAGGATTGGGTATATATTGTCCCCAGAAGGACTACAAACTAAAACTAAAAGTAGCTTGTTTTTGAAAATCCAAAGTAAGATTTTAATCTTTGAGGCTGATATACATGAAGGAAACAGTTTTACTAAGCCAACAGCCTTCACTCCATGCTCAGAGGCCCACTGTGGCCCCCTTTGAGGGAAGTCAGAGAGACTAGGTGGAATCCCAGAGGTGCGGCCTTAAACAAGTACCTCCAGTCTCCCTGAAGCCAGCTTCCTTCCTGTGGATGACACACGATCCTCCCTACCCTGCAGGATGTAACGTGAGGATTGCATTCATCAAAGTAGGCCATCATGCTGCTTCTGCTGCCTCTCCATTCCACTCACTACCCCACACACACATATGCACACCCGGGTACGCACACACAGCTTCTCACCTGGCTCAGGACTCATTTGGGATCTGATGGTAGGGTTTAAAAAGTGGCCTTGGTGAAGGGCAGGACAAGATGACCAGATGGGATAAGCCAAAGGGCTAATAGGCAACCTGGAAACTCAATGATTTCTCATGGGTGGAGAAGTGGCTCAGTGATACCCAAAGAGGTGAGCAGGCAAACAGGTCTCAGCCAGAGTGAAACCCAGGTCAGGAAACATTTCTCCAAGGAAGGCTTTGGGCTGAGAAATTGGTATTTCTCAGATATCCAGGCTACCAGCACCCTGAAGACCAGTCCCCTAGCTTTCCTCTCTGCCCTCTACTGGTATATTCATTGTTTATGATTCTGACTAAGCCCTCCTGCCATCCTGCCCCAAATCTACACTTTCTCTCCCATCCTGCCACGTGGTTTAGAGAATCCGGCAGGTCCAGCTGCTGCTTCCTGCCTGGCTCTGTGACTGCCTAACACTGCACCTGAGTCTATTCTGGTTCTCATCAAAGCTGCCTGCCTCAGGCCAGCCGGAGGAAGTCAGGAAAGGGCTCAGGCCCCAGAGCAGGGGAGTGTGGAATGAAGCCATGCTGTGCTTCTGAGCAACTACATACCCCTGGATAACTCACTTTCTGCCCTCTGCCTGCTTCCCTTTTCTAAAATGGAAATTATAGTTCAACCTAGCTCACAGGCTGGTGTCAGGGTCAAATGAATGGACATATATAAAAGGCACTTTATAACGTGAGATGAACAATACAAGAAAAATACTAGTAGTTCGCCCCCACCCCCATCTCTGGAAGATTTGTTCCAAGACCCCCAGTGGATGCCGAAAACCTTGGGTAGCACTGAACCGTGTATCCACTATGTATTTTCTTATAGGTACATAGCTATGACAAAGTTTAATTTATAAATTAGACACAGTGAGAGATTAACAACAACTAATGATAAAAGAGACCAATTACAATAATACACTGTAAAAAATGTATGTGTCTGTGGTCTCTCTCTCCAAAATTCAGATCACCAAGGTGGCTGCTAGGTCACTAACAGGCAGGTGGTATATCCAGCGTGGAGACGCGGGACAAAAGGGCGATTCCATCCCAGGCAGGAAGGAGCAGGACAGTGTGAGATGTCATCACACTCTTCAAATTGATGCCAAGTATATGAATTATGAATTATTCATTTCTGAAATTTTCCATTTAATATTTTTGGACAATAGCTGACTCCAGGTAACTTTAAAAAGCAGCACCATGGCCCTCGCTGATTTGGCTCAGTGGTTAGAGGGTCGGCCTGAGGACTGAAGGGTCTGGGGTTCAATTCTGGTCAAGGGCACCTAACTTGGTTGCCGGCTGGATCCCCAGCCCTGATTGTGGCGCATGCAGGAGGCAACCAATAGATGTTCCTCTCTCTGTCTTGCCCCGCTCGCTTCCACTGTCTCTAAAAATCAATGGAAAAAATATCCTGGGGTGAGGATTAACAACAACAAAAAGCAGCACCATGGATAAGGGGCTCTACTGTATTGTTATCATGAGGGAAAATGGGAAAACTGCCATGTTTGAACCATCACTTTCCCATCATGTGAGTTACACTTGATGACCAAGTTAAATGATAACGTCTCTGTCCATGAGAAATCATTGAGTTTCCAGGTCGCCGATTTGCCCTTTGGCTGTGAAAGAAACAGATAGGAAATAAGGGCACCGGCTAGAAATGTTTTCTATCCAGAATGGGGAGAACCAAGAGAGCACAGAAAAGTTCTCAGCCTCGCTAAAACCACTGAATCCCCAAGAAGACAGTGTATCCTTGGGGTGGCCAAGACTTCTTCCTGCTTGTACTAAAACTTGTGGGCACTTGCTATTGGTGGCTGGAGAGCAGACCAGAATGAAGAGAACAGAGGTAACCAGTGGCTCTCAAACCTAAATGTGCATCAGCTTCCCTGCAGGCCTTGTGAAGGCAGTGCTGGGCTCCCTGGAGCTTCTGAATCAGTACTCCTAAGCTGAAGCCCAGAGCTGGCATCGCTAATAACTTCTCAGCAGGTGCTGCTGCTGCAGAGGAAACCACACTTTGAGAACCACTGATATAAGCTATGTCTGTGTCTCCATACCTGTAAATATGACTTCACTTTAGAAGTAAACATAATGTTTAACTCTTTCAAAAGGTATTATTGAGTGTCCTTGACTGAGTTACTTAACCTGTCTGAGCAACCAGTTTCTCACTTTTGTTCCATGAAATAGAGAAAATATTATCTATCTCACAGGGCTGCAAAGATTAAATGAGAAAAGAGATGGGAAATGGTATCTAAAAATGGTACTCCCAATGTTACAGCCCTTTCTTCTCATTAATCTTTAAAAAAAAATCTAAGCTTTTTGGAAGATACCTAAGGACCTCAGCAAAACTTCAGCACAGGGACATGTCAGCCAGAGGTAGGTTTGAAGAGAAAAAGAGGACCCAGAACCTCTGATGTGTCTGACCAGCTCAATACGCTATCATACATTCTTATTCGTATTTGAGGAGTTATCAGAGACGGTGAGGGCTTCTGTGTGGCAGTTGTTTAGTTATTTTTTATCCAGGCCCTAAAGTTCATGTCACAGTAGCTTCCATGGCTTCTTATGGGTTCTGGCTCTATGTTTATCACAGGATGTGTTGGTTAAGGCTACAAAAGTGACTATGAAAAGGGCCAGGCTTGTGCTCATTTCGGCAGCACAGGTCCTAAAATGGGAAGGATGCAGAGAAGATTGGCGCCCCTGTGCAAGGATGACATGCAAATTCTGGAAGCCTTCCATATTTTTGACATTGACAGCAGTAGGGTGATTGCCAGAAGTAAAGGGTGGGGTGCAGGAGGTTGAAGAGGGTAAATGGAGGATAAATGGTGACAAAAGAAGACTTGACTTGAAGTAGTGAACATGCAATGCAATATACAGATGATGTTTTATAGAATTGTACACCTGAAACCTGTATAATTTTATTAACCAATGTCATACCAGTAAATTAAATAAAATTTATTTAAAAAAATTATCAAAGGGCCAGCTTTTAGATCTGGATGACTCTAGGAGACATGTGGGGACACCAATGTTCCCATTTTATATATGGGTAAGCTGAGGCCCGGAATAGTTGAGACAGCCAAATACCACCAGTAGAATGCCTAAGCTGAAGTTCAATGATAAAAACTAGAGTGACAAATAATACATTTCATAAAACTTGGCAGTCTGGGGTGAAGCTGGAAGTTTACTTCTCTGAGATAGGGCCCAGGAAACCCCAAAGTTACAGTAGCCAGTTTGAGGAGCAGGTCAAAAACAGCATAAATAGAATAAATGAGGAAGGAAAGAGAAAAAGAAAGGATGGTAGAAGAGAAGATGGAGAAAAAAAAGTAAGAAGAGTAATGTTCACCTGGCAAACCTTTCATCCAACTGGATACAGAGTTGGGGTCCTGGCCCTGGCTAGTACTAGCCATGGCTACTGAGATAAGCACAGAATTTATGTGATTAAAAGTAAAAGGAAAACTAAACTGAAGAATGGATGAGAACAATGAAATGAATAATATTGCCAAGTGGAAACACTGGTTGTTGAAGAGTAAGCAAACTTACTAACAAGCAGACCCCATACTTTTTGGGTTATTGTTCCACTCTATATTGATTTTACTGACTAATAGGACAAATGAGCTCATCGCACAGAACCAATCATCCTAGTCTTCCTCCAGAGGGAGCTGGATAAGACAGACCAGGAGTCAGACACTTGAGTGGACCCCTAAGGTAGTCCCCATTTCCCACAACACCTGCCACCTCACACAGGTTTCCCTGAGCCCTTCCAGCAGTGAGGGCCAGCGTGCCAGGGCAGAGCCAGCCACCAGGCACACAAAGCCAATCCCACTGCCTTACCATCACAGCATAAAGCCTGGAGCATCCTGTGGGAAAATAAAGGTCAACTTCAAAATTAATCTTTAAACTGACTGAACTGAAGGAGGAGCAGAAAGAAGAAGCAAGAGGAGTCTGAGAGGCATGGATGGAACAGAAGAATAACAAGAGTTTTATGTAAACTTCTGGAGAGTGCATTATAATTTGAAAAGGCTGTGAACACCCAATAGCAGCTTGGTAGGATTTTTAAATATTTTTTTTATATGAAACACACACATACCTCTTTTTAGGTTATCATCAAGGTCACTCTCTATGAAAGTCTTTAACTTAGGGTGAAAATTTGAACCTCAAATGACTGATCACTGCTATGTCAATCCTCAATCCTTGTTAGATGACCTGTTTTTCTTCTTCCTTTCCAGTACCTGGTCTCCTCCTTTCAGAGAGATGGTGGGATTTTCTCAACAAGACTATGGAGCAAACCAGAAATAGAGATAAAGACTAAGCATATTCCAGCAAAGTTCAGATGGCCAGTCACTCTACCTGAGCCAGCCACAGATACATCTGGTACAGTGAATGTCCTGCAAGGGCTCCTGTCTCACCACCATGTCTCATAACAGATGTGTAGTGAGGGGGAAGTCAGTGCTCAAATTCGAGGAATCTAGGAGAAGCTGGACATGTGCCCACTACTTTTTCTTGCATCTTCTATTTAAGGCTAATGGGGCTGGATTGGTGGCCCCTGGAATAGGGGCAGTTGGTATAGAAATGGGAAGCAATCAAGGAGTAGGTCAGTCAATGACACAATACAAAACTCAGTCACTGAAGATGGCCTGAGAAAATGTTACATTAGAAGGACATGGAAATCAGGAATTCATTTCATATATTGCTTTATCTATAATTGTCTTGAATAGTAGATTCCTATTTAGCTCTTCACATATAAACAATTTTCACTTTAACTTATAACAACTTTCTTATTATTGTCTTTTCCTAACATATTTTTCAATTTTATATTGTTGACAGTATTACAAATGTCCCTCATTCCCTGCCCTCCCCCATCTGCCCACCTCCACCCAGCTCCTGCCACCCCTCCCCTTGCCTCCACCACTCTGTTGTCTGTGTCTACAAGCTATGTATATATCTTTTTTGGCTACTCTCTTCATCTTCTTTTACCCAATTACCCCCATCCCACTCCCCTCTAATATCTGTCAGTCTATTCCATGTATCCATGCCTCTGGTTCTATTTTGTTCGCCAGTTTACTTTGTTTATTAGATCCCACATATAAGTGAGATCATGTGATACATCTTTCTCTGACTGGCTTGTTTTGCTTAGCATATTAGTCTCCAGGTTCAGCCATGCTGTCACAAAGGGTAAGAGTTTCTTCTTTTTTTATAGTGTGTAGTATTCTATTGTGTAAATATACCACAGTTTTTTATCCACTCATCTACTGATCAGCACTTGGGTTTTCTAGATCTTAGCTGTTATAAATAATTATGCTGTAAACATAGGGGTGCATATATTATTTCTGATTGCTGTTTCAGGATTCTTGGAGTATATTTTCAGAAGTGAGATCTCTAGGTCAGGAGGCAGTTCCATTTTTAAGTTTTTGAGGAAACTCCATACTGTTTTCCATAATGACTGCACCAGTCTGCATTCCCACCAACAGTGCACTAGGGTTCCCTTTTCTCCACAACCTCACCAGCACTTGTTTGTTGATTTATTGATGGTAGCCATTCTGGCAGGTGTGGGCTGATATATTGTCATTTAATTTGCATCTCTTTGATGATTAGTGACATTAGCATTTTAGCATGTTTTATGGCCAAAATCAACTTCTTGTGATCAAAAGACACAGCTAGTTGTCTTCTAAGTTACTATATCTTAGCAGCTAACACAGTGGATGTAATTAAATTGATTTGAAGACAGTCATTGCAAAAACATGCTGAATCAAGTTGAAGGGATAGGGGCTTTAAGATTGAGCAAGTATTCATATCTCATCATTTTATCCTGGGTCTTCGAAAAATGTGGGAATTTACTCAGAATTAATAAGCTATGCAGAAGAAAATGGCATATACCTTTGTATTTCAAAAAGTCCAGTCAAGAAGGTTCAGCATGTAAATGCAATACCAACATCCTCTTGCAACCACAACAAAATTACAACTAAACTACAGAACAACCATTATTGAGAATCACCTGAAATATAGCTGAACAGAAATCTTATAACTGAGGATATAAAGAAGAAGCCATGTGGAGGCTGGTAGGAGGGGACAGAGATGTAGATAGGTGGGTCCTACTACCACATGTGACTGCTAAAATTCCAGAGGGATGTTTCAGTTGCACAGTCCCCTTTGAGGAGCAAGACATCCCAACCCCACACCAGACCCCCAAGCCCAGGATTCCAGTGCCAAGTAGAGAAGTCTCCATAATTTCTGGCTATAAAAACCACAGGGATTGTGGCTGAGTGACACAGAGGGCTTCTGGAGTCACAGGTGTTCCTCTTAAAGGACCTGTGCACAAATTTACTCAGACTCACTCACTCTGAGCTCCAGCACTGAGGCAGAAGCTCAAAAGGGGCCAGGGACATATAGGGAGAACTGAATTGTCTGGCATCAGGGCAAGGGCTAGAAGGGCAGCTTTCTCCCAAACAGAAGTATTGGCAAAGCCATTGTTCCTTTGCTGAGCTCTCACAGAGCTGGCAGGTGGGCACCATATCTGAGTCTCCATCACCCTGTCAAACACTGTTCCCCCCACTCTGGTGATTCCCTGAGATCCTACTCCACTCAAGTTGCAGGACAACCCAGTGCCTTTCCATGCAAGCCGCCAGTCTTAGCTCATGTTGTGGACTCCCTAAAATCTCTCAAACAAGCAGCGTTTGGCCTTGAAGTGCTCCTAACCACTTGCTAAGTGGCCCCAGGCCTGGCACTAGCATCAGCCAGCCTTGGTTCACAGCTCGGTCTCTCCTGGGCACCTCTAACCTCAGCAAAATAGAAGCCATCTACAGATTGCTTTGTAGCTTATGCTGGATGGCCCCAGGCAAGATACAGGTGTCATCTGACTTTGGCCTGCATCTCCCAGGAGGCCCAGAGCCAGTGCACCCAGTGAACAGCTCAGACCACACATAAACACTAACCAACCACCTCCACTAGCAACACACTCAAGGGAAGGACTTAATGGGTATTGGAGCCTACTGAAGTGTCATGATTCTGCACAGTAGATCCTCCATGGTAGTTTCAGCCAGTCCTCACAGCCAATTTGCCTGAAAGTAAATACCTCCTATTAATGTGCCAGCAGCAATCAACACTCAACTACAACAGGAGAGTGCACATAGCCCACATGGAGGACAAACCTGAAGCACCCAGCTCAGGTGACTGAGGGGGCTATGCCAATAGGACCTACAGAACACCTATGACATAAGGCCATTCGCTATTAAGTCTGGGAGACCTAGCAGATCTACCTAATATAGAGAAAAAAACACAGGGAGGCAGCCAAAATGAGGAGACAAAGAAACATGTCCCAAATGAAAGAACAGACTAGCCCTGGCTTGTGTGGCTCAGTTGTTAGAGTGTCAGCCTATTCACCAAAGGGTCATGGGTTTGATTCCCAATCAAGGGTGTATACCTAGGTTGCAGGTTTGATCCCTGGCTCCAGTTGGAGCACACATGAGAGGCAACCAATTGATGTGTCTCTCTTACATCAATGTTTCCCTCTCTCTCCCTCTTCACCTCCCTCCCTCCCTTCCACTCTTTAAAAATCAATGGAGCATTAACTGGTTTGCTCATGGATAGAGCATCGGCCCATCGAAGGGTCCTAGTTTTGATTCTGATCAAAGACACATACCTCGGTTGCAGGCTTGAACCCAGGTCATGGCACATGTTGGAGGCAACCATTCCATGTGTCTCTCTCACATCAATATTTCTCTGTGTCTCTTTCCTTCCCTTCCACTCTC